ACTTCATATAAAATAATGAAAAACAAGTTATGGAGTTTTAGCATAACTTACTTAGAAAAAATTTAATAAGTACTGTTAACTGTGAACTGTTAGCATTAGAGGAAAAAGAAAATCAATACAGCATTCCTCTAATATCTTAGTCTTAACTATTTTTTGAGATAACTAATAAATTTCACTTTGAAGAGCTGTTTTATTTATGCTTCATCTGAAAGAAAATATTAGTCTAATGACACACGAGAATAAAATTTTTAAATTTCAGGCTAGAAATGTATTTGGTTTTGAGAATATACGATACCCTTAGAATATGAAACTGTACATTCTGTATTACCTAATGCAATGGAGATATTCCAGAGTGAAACCCTCTGAGGGAAAATTAAGAAAATTTTTAAATTAAGTTCCTAGTTTTATTTACCTGGTACTTACTAAGTTTCTGTTGTTTATGCAAAACGGCAAGATTAAAACATGTGACTTAATCTCTATTTTTTAAATTTACCAAGAGATTATACAAAGATTCATGAGACATTACACAATTACTATATAATAAATAGCTAAGACCATTATTGATAAAGCATAATTTAAGGTTTTAGTTTTTACATCTACATAAACATTTTAGCATTAAAATGACAAACTCAAGACAGATTATTAAATAAGCAACTTTATCTGCTGAATATCTATTACAATCTTTAAGCCGAAAGCACAAAAGCTTTGAACACAAAACAAAGCATGTCAATTCTTGATTGTAACTACAAAGTGCAATTAATTTACCTAAGAATCAGCCTCTTAGCATATATGTGGTTTATGTACTCAATGTTTTCAAACATTTCAGTCTACAAGTTTATTAAGCTGACTGCTCTTAAAACTCAGAATTTCTTGAATTATCTTTATTGTTTATTTCCAATTGTTGGGGTGATTCATAATAGCCAGGCCGAGAAACTTTAAAGTTATTTCAAAGCAAAAAAAGGGGGGGGGCTTTGATACAACGTAAGATGTTTATCCCATTTAAACAAAAAAATCAGAAATCAAAATATTAGCATTACGGTCAAAGAAATACTGAGAGGATGCAGTAGCATATTATTGGCAATCAGTGCTCTCTGCTTCTCAATGAAACAGAACCAAAACATATGTAGCTGCATTTGTGTGGGGAATGGGGCTGGGGGAGGCATGCATAAGGAAAGTGCTGCTAGAGTTCAATAGTATGATGCTAATGACTAGGTGAAACAAGAAATACCATGTTAGAAGACTAAAGAAAGAATAGCACAAAGTACTTGGCAGTTGAGCCAACAGAAGTTCCTCCTCAACAGGGGTCTAAATGAAAGCCCTATAAACAAACAGCCTGGTGCAGTGGCACAAATGTCATGGCAGTGACCAACCACTTTTTTACTGATTTTAAGGCCAGCTCCACATGATAAAATCCATACCTAGCAATAACCTGTGGTTAGACAGATAGTCCTAGGTAAGAAAGTACTACTATTATTCTGCTAAGTGGACACAATATTAAACTGACTCCTAATGACTTACCACTATACTCATAGATCAGTGTGTCTCTCAACCCTCATCAGAGAAGTTTCTTTTGGCAATAGATGGTAATTAGCACAGAGACCCACAAATGATCAGGTTCAGAGAACTAGAGACTGGAAGGCTCAGCCCTTAATGGGACACCTAAATCACACTCCTCTGAAGGCTCAAGGATCACTGAGGACGGGAGCAGAAAGATCCTAAGAGCCAGAAGAAGTAAATGACTACAGGAAACATTTTTCCTAACACAATGGGGCAGGTGCACATGTGAACTCACTGAAATTTTGACAGCTTGCGCAAGACCTGCACAACCTCAAGCCAGGGAAAGTTCCAACAAGGAGAGGTGAGGTGGGCACAATGTCCCAGCCTTAGCTGAGAAGCTACTGGAAATTGACAGCTGCTGGTAAAGGAAAGTCAGTTTTATTTAAGACTTGGCATTCATCTTCCAGTGGATGACAGTATCACACATAAGAATGTATTATACAAGCAGCACAAATTGTTCTAGATGGGTTTAAGAACAAAAAAAATAAAGAGGCCACAAAACTAGATGCATAGAGAAGTGTAGGATATACCTGGGAGGGATGGGAGAAGGAAGGAGTGAATATGATCAAAATACATTGCATAAAGTTCACAAAGAACTTTTTTTTTCTTTAAATGAGGGAGAAGGGTTTTTTTTTTTTTTTTTTTTAAAAAAAAAAAAAAAAAAAAAAAAAAAAGAACTGGCAATCTCCAGAAGCACAGAATCCAACAGCTTGAGAACACACAATCTAAACAGAGACCTGGGGTCTGTACCAGCACGCTGGCATTCTTGCATGTCCCAGAGAATTCATATGCCATAACAGGGAGCCATCTTAAGGAAGACTCCT